GGCCTCGTTGTTTTCATTGTTTTCAATCTGCAATTACGAGAATGTAGAGAGACACAGCGAGAACGAGAGAGGGATAAAGAGGAAGAGAGACAAGAAGAGAAGACACAATGTAAGAAAAAGAGAGAGATAGGAGGGAAACGGAAAAGAAAGTGGTGAAAGGGTTCCGATTACTTCATCGAGTGGAAAAGCTTGTGGAAAAAAGCGTGAGCTGTGCAATCGGGGTACCCTTCGGTGAATATCCATTGGCGTTCTACGGGCGCGCAGATCGACGCGGCGTCGCATTCGTAGAGGCATCTCCGTTAATTGACCTAGTGTTCTCTTTTTTATAATTATTTTTCAGTTGTTCGTAGTTTTGTATGCGCGAGCGCACGTGTGTGGTGTGTGTGTGTGTGTGTATGTGTGTATATGTGTCAGCTTCTCGTCATTTTTTTCCTTGTTTTTTCTAGTTTCTTTTTTCTTCGCGATTGATTCGGCTCGCCTGGAACGAAACTGCTCCGTTTCGATTCCACTCGCTCGACAGTGATTGGCGAACTGCTCGTTTTCGTACGCTACGACATTTATTGAGCGTGATCTTATCGACGTATTTATGTAGATAGCAGGGCTGCCAGGTTGTACGTTTCTTCAACTCTCCGACGGCGATACTTGGAGATATTTTGACTGAAATTTTTGGAAATTTCACTTAACCTTTTAGTTTTTCGCGCCTAACATGCGTTCTCTGTTGACTGTTAGATTTAATAATAAGATCGAGCTAACTCGTAGGAATACGTTTGAGAGAATATGTAAAAAGACCAGTAATTAGCGATTTGAATAGTTCAAAACATCGCAGATCATGAAATCGTGAAGACATCCGTCATTGGAGGGATGTTAGGGATAATGCTAATGTAATTTTTTTGTTTAGTTTTCCGGTGCCTCGCTGTTTTCCTTTTTTTGGAGGATTCAAATGAATTTAATCCCTTGCCCTATAATATCTTCTTAGACTCATGAAGATTTCAAATAAAATTTAACAGACGTAAATATTATTTGTTTTTATTCAAATTAAATATTATTCCTTTGGTATAAATGATTACGCTTCAGAGCAAACGACGACAAGGAATATATCTAGAATTTCCTCTTATTTTCAATAAACTGTTGATAACAAAGTAGTCAGGTCGATCACAGTTTAGAAAGAAATCATATGGCAAGGGATTAATGAAATGTACATTTCTCAACGAGCATAATTCATTCGATTGGTGTTGAAATTTTGACGAGGTACAGGCTGGTACTGTTGAACAGATCATTCGATCGGTTCAATCGATACTACTGATGCGAATGCAGATTATCAATTCCATTTTCATTTTAACGCGTGTACTGTCACAGTGGTCAGCGAATTCAGTGCTTTCAAATCTGCTTGAAAATAATTACACCAAGGAAATTTATATCGATTCAAAATATTCAGTAATAGAAGTAACTCGTAGTCAATAATGTAACACAAGAATTTTCATGCAGAATCATTAATAATTATTCCTAATACCATTGATCTTTGTTATAAAAGAATCAGTAATAGTATACAAAACACTGAAAATTTTCGTGGCAGTCAACGTGTTAACATTTGTAAGATTTGTTCACAGTTCCAGTCCTTGTACTTAAATCATCGGATATAATCATTAGTTTCCTTCTTTTATATTTGACCGTAATTAGTGCGTCACCGAAGAAGAAACGCAGCAAACAGCAGCAGTACAGATGAATATATTTAAAAATATGGAAATATCTTTTCGCATGGTAAATCTTATTTTTTTTCAATTAGAAAAACTGGCAACCCTAGTAGATAGGCAACGATTAGTCAACGCGTGCGACGCTCTCGCGAACGTGTCCGAGAGAGTTGGCGGCGTTGTTACACGAAGAGAGACAGAGAGAGAGAGAGAAAGGGAAAAAAAACGAGAAATCAGAAAAGAAATAATAAAGAGCGCCGATCATACCTCTGATCAAACGGACACTAGCAATCCTCGGGTTGTCCTCCCACTTCGGCAACGCCCGATCGGAGACAGCGTTTGACGCGCAAGAGCGGCGCCTCGCAATGGTCCAGATTGTCGGATTAGGAGGAAAAAATGTTCTAAAATTGTTTCTTTATTAATCATAGTACTGTTTCCTATGCATTTGCGTAGGTATTCTAAATCAATTTACCAGAGTCAAGTCGATGGGAGTAGTGTTGTAAAATGCTGGAGTTTTCGAAGCTTGAAGGATCAAGCTTAAAGGCTCAGATTCAAAGGCTGAGTTTTGAAAATTTAGAGTTTTATAAAAATCGAGTTTTCGAAGCTTCAAGACTCAACCTTGAAGGCTGAGTTTTGAAAGCTTAGAATTCTATAAAGCTCAAGTTAGAGGCTTTAAAGCTCAACCTTGAAAGTTTAGAGTTTTATAAAGCTCGAGTCATAGAAGCTGCAAGGTTCAACCTTAAACATTAAGTTCTGAAAGCTTAGAGCTCTATAACGGTCGAATCATCGAAGCTACAAGGCTCAACCTTAAACACTAAGTTTTGAAAGCTTAGAGCTCTATAACGGTCGAATCATCGAAGCTACAAGGCTCAACCTTAAACACTAAGTTTTGAAAGTTTAGAGCTCTATAACGGTCGAATCATCGAAGCCACAAGACTCAACCTTGAAGCTGTGAAAACTCAACATGATGTTCAAGAGCCTTCAGCGCTCAAGTGTTTATGCTAAAAAGATCAAAGCTTTCTTTGAGCATAAAAACTCCAGTGTTGAAGACCAACTTTTTCAGCTCAAGGTTTGAACCTTTAGAACTCTTGCACCTTGAGCCTTTTACCATAAATCAGACTACAGCTTTTAAGGCCCGAAAGTCTGGACTCATGTTTACAACACTGGATGGGAGTAGTAGCTTTTAAAATACAGCGGAATGTAGATTTAGAAAATTTGTAATTTACTAACACACTCGTATACGTAATTTTCGTGATTCCTTCCGTTATTGATCAATTTATTAGCGGATGCCGCTGTGCGTTTAAATAGAACGTATAGTATACGAAACATTCATTAATGTTCTTCTACCTTCGATTTTATACTTTCCTCCTAATTGTACGATTTGGACCGCTGTGCGTCGCCAAAATTCTCAAACTAAGCTCCGATTCTTTTTTCCGTTCGTTTCACCAATGCGGATTCCGACTCTTTGTTCCACTTCAAGAACAGTTTCATAATAATAGACTGTAGACGTATGTGAACTTGTTCATGTGTGTGTGTGTGCGCGCGCGCGCGCGTGTGTCTGTGTGTGTAATCGACTATATTTTAATTTGAGATTGCATAGAAAAAGGAATACTCTTATGCTTATACATTTAAAGTGACTTGAATAGTTTTAAAGAAGCAACGAACGTGCCCGGGCCAGGCACATCTTTATCTATGTGTGTTTTTTTAGTTTCGTATTTCACTTTTGCAGCTGCGTTTAACACTAGATTCACCAACGGGGTCAACAGTCACTTGCTAAACGTGTTTCTTCTTTTTACTTGAACTTACTTGATTTTACTTGAAATTCGTATATCGTTCTTCACATTCCGACATCTCGTAGAACACAGGTAAAGCGTTTATTTCGTTGCGATTTCAAAAATTCCTTGTTTTTCTTCAGTTTCGATGTCACGCAGAGAGCTAAATGTATTCGACAATTGACGCGTTGCACAGAAATTGTATAAACAGAGCCGCGTACTTCCCACGCTGTTCATTTATACTTTGCTGACAGATATTTCGTTCGAACGTAAACCACGTGAAATAGGGATTCCCGTAAATGGTAAAGCGATTAATAACCATGGTATACGTAATAATCGTGTTCGCGATATGCGCGATAACTACAAAACCTTCATTCATGACAAACGTGTTTAATAACGTACATACACATATCAAGCTACCCTTCTCCCGAGTAAAGTAAACATACATTCAAGATGCAACATTTCATGTCACTTTTATTGAAACAATCATGAAATTAATAAACATTTCGTTGAAATTCCCATGAAATAAAACAACAACTATATATCTGATCGAACGTTCGTTTATTTATTTCCTCTAAAAGTTTCTTAAGAAACAAATCGTTTCGACCCCTTCGTTAGAAACAGGTGTACGCTCGGGCACGCACGCCGTTGGTGGTTCTAGTGTTAACTGGCAGGCGTTAGACAAGAGATCGCGAGGGGGTTCGATTAGCAGAACCAAGAAACGATGGATAAATTTAGTCTTTGAAGTCTGGATTTATTATCATAGTGTTCGCTTTTCTCGTTGATTAGGAGAAAATTTATTGTACTTGACCGAGCGAGCAGGCCCCGATCGATCGCGCTCGGCTAGGAACGCGTCCCCTTCGCTCCCGAGGCTATATAAAATCGTAATTCGGAGCGAATTGTACTCGCGTGAAACGGTAATGCATATTCGAAGCGTCTAAAATTGGCTAATGCCGAAAGCCGACGGTTGTATAAATGCTTCCGAGCCGGTTAATTCCTCGATGAGCGACCGTTCGGATCGTTACCTTATGTTTTTCTCTCCCCCACTTAGAATTTTACCCCGTTTCGCCGCGGTGTTTATGATTGATCATGTCCCGATCCCGCGCATTTGGCGTGCTCCGAACGCGGCCGAGGATCGCGTGGAACCCGAAAACGGCGCGGCGGGCGTGGCGGTTTTGTTCGGAACAAAGGATCTCAGTCTCAGC